CCTTTTGGTTTCCCCATGAAGCCAGGTGAACAAATTGGTACCGAGCATGGTGATTCACAATTTTCGTTGTCAGTTGACGTTGCACGATTTATATATATATATATATATGTGTCAAACAAAGGGAAACACCCAAAATGGTGGGTTTAGGGACGATGCCCCGTGATTTTTACGGTGGAGGATTTTGTTTTTCAGGCTTGAGCAGAGGGAGCAGCGCTACGTGTTCCACAGTGATGGCCGGCGGCTCAGTGAGAGAGAGAGAGAGAGAGAGACGCGGTTTCCATGGCGATGTGATGGAAGCCGTTTCGGAGAACATACCTTTCCTAGGTCCTCCAGCTAGGCGCCCTTTTACCGTTTCTTTTTTGGGGGAGGGTTCCCCTACTAAAATAGACTACAGAAAAAGTTGGTACCCTTATTCCTCTCTACTGGAGGACCTAGTTTCTGAGTGTTCAGCGACTTCGAAAGGACGCCCAGGATCTTTCTCCTGCTGGGATGTCCCAAAACCATCCAAAGATGATTCCCTATTCTGTGACAGGCCCATGATTTGCCCAGGAGTTTCACGCGTCATTTTTGTATTCTTTCATAACGTATCCAAACACAGGGCGGGCCCTGCTCTGCTTCTAAGTTTGACTTGGCAGACGCCGAAAAGCTCATTGCCTTCAGTTTTTCCGAGGGAAACCACCAGGAGACAGATGATGGTTTGCTTTCTTTGCCAGAATAGCCCGCTCTCATTTAACTTACCACCCAGATGAGCGGTAAGCGTGCACCCGTGGACCTGGGCAGATCATCGCGAAAGGCTTTGGTTTGCAGCCGAACACCCATGAAGGTGTCTTTCATTGGGTGTTTCTTATTCTTGGGACGGTGCATTTCCAAACAACCCAGATGGATGTTCCCTCCTTCCCATGCGCCCTCATCTTTCCATGCTGGATGTTCAAAAATCGCTGGACTTAGGTCAAATCCAGAATCAGTGGAGCAGCCTCTGCTTGGCTGCTCGGAATGCGCTTGGCCGGGCAAGCTTCAGGCAGATCGATACCTATGTCTCAAACCCACATGGTCTCCAAATCGGGGACCCTTCTTTCTCGGTGTCCCCTTTGGTGTCTCCCTCTGCTAACCTATGGGCACCCTCAAGACCCAAATACGGGTGGGCCCCTCAAGAGAAACCCTTGACATCATTCGGAGGAGGCTCCCAAGATATGCCGAAGGCTTGCCGGTTGGCTGGCCGGCTTTTTTGGGGACGAGCAAATGGGCAAGGGTTGCCTCCACAAGCAACCCGACCAGTGTTGGTTCATGCTGAAATTACCTTGACTCTTGGAGCCATTCATGAGCAGACAGCCACAGAGAGGTGCATCCCAGACTTGCTGCCGCTCGGGGCATCGTGTGCGGCGCACCACCTTGTCTCCCAACGAAGCAGCTCCGGCGCACTGATCGCGCCAACTCGGCCCGGTCTTTGCTGCGGGATTCAGACACACCGAGCAAAGCAAAGGGGTTTGGGGTGGATTTTGATCCGGTTTCACAAGTTGCGGGGGCGGGCTCACGCTACGTCCTTGCGGAGAAAATCTGCGCCGCGCAAACAAACGGGGAAAAAGGAGGTTTCATGCACCAGCCAGTTGGGTGTCAAAACGTATGTCGCCCATGTTGCTTGAACGGATGGATCGTTACTCATAACACAGGCTGCACGTCTCCTTTCAATCCAGCCTCGCTTTTGGGCTATTTCCTAAAGCGGAGAACATGAATTGGATGATTGCCAGGGTTGTCATTTCACGACTCCCTTCCGGCAAACAACAACGGCGCATGATGCCTCTTGAAGGTTAGTCAAACTCGTCCCACAAGTTGCAAACAGACTGCCCTGGTTTCGGACACACCCATTTGAGTTCACAGAACCCAACAAATGGTTGCATTCCCTTTGGTTTCTCCCTTCAATCCACCTCCAATAAGAGTACCCTCAAGACAATGCTTACTCACACACCGGGTGACCACCCTACAAGAGGCGGGGGAACATCTGTGGGGCCTGCGGGGTGATGGTGGAGGTGGGCAAAATGAACCCATTGGTTTTGGGAAGCCCAACGAGCGTTGGGTGGACAATTGTTTAGAAAATAGTGGCTTAAACTTTTAAGCTATGGTTTGAACAAGGAGGTGGGCCAACCCTGCCTTGATGCTCAGGACACCGAGGGGAACTTCGGCTATAACGAGCCGGGAATCAAGTGGAAGACCTGCGAATTTGACGCGCCTCGGCTAGAAGCTGCATGGGCTCTTGTGTTGAAGGGTACGCCTTTCCGGGTGGTTGGAAGGGAGAAACCAAGGGCAATCAACCATTTTGGGGGTTCCATATTTGGAGACGACGCCACGTGTGCACCTTCCGCAAAACCGAACCCTTGGATTTGGAATCCGGAAGGTTCCCTTAAGGCCAGCACCCCCCGAACCCTCGGGGCTAAGATTTGACCCCAAGGTAGACTTGAGCCACTTGCCCAAAGCCCGGGTAAGTGAAGGGTAACAAGAAAATGTCCCAGCCAGAATTCGTTGCGGCCGCCTTTGTAGTTGTTTGCATAGTTTTTTTTTGGTACACCACTTTAATACCGGGTTTTGAACCCGGGGTGGTACAATACAACAAGCTGCACCCCGATCTGGGCATTCCACCTTTGCCCTCTCAGCCCAAAGCGCAGCAGTCTTCTCCGACGCTTTGTGTGCAGATATGGCAGGCCCCAAGAGGGTGGCTGATTTCAGGGATTCCCGATGGTTCCCCTTTAAAAGGGGGTCAGCCAAAAGGGTATACTCGAAACATATGCTTTCCGGATGTCCAGTTTATGTTGGGTGTCTTAGAAACCCACTTCAAAGTTGGGTTTCTCAACTTTGCTAGGATGTTCAACGTCAATTCCTCATGCTTCCCGACTTGGTCTTGGGATTTTTCTCAACGTGGGACGCACTCGTCCAACTCAAGCTTGAGACACAGCCACTTCCATCTTCAACAACTCCGACCGCATGTTTTTTCATCCATGTTACTCAACCGCGATACGTATTCCGTTCCAACAAGTGGCCCAAGATTTCTGGGCCATTCAGCAGCGAGCCCGCCTAGAAGGTGAACCCACAAAGCTACCCAGGATGATGATGCTTTCGGAGGTGTCTTTGCCAGCCTTCGGATTCCCGGGGACTTCCTGTGCCCTTTTGCCCTTACAGCGCCCTGAGATGTCCGAGCCCTACGGCCGCAGGTCCATTGGACCCCTTTTGCTCGGGAAAGTTCGTTCCCGAAGCGCGGATGACTTCCACTTGCTTAAGAATCTGTGTGTATTTTCCCCTGTTGGTTTTAAAGGGAATCTACCACTACTGAACATATTTTACATTTTTTTCCAGGGGGCGTATATAAGCAAATGGCAGATTTCGATGTCCTAAACCTCTCCGGGCAAGTTTCAGGAGTTCCATCATCCTGATTTGGGGTGAGAGAAGAGGCCCCCAGACCTGGCACGGCGGCCAGCCAAGAATCTTCGGCTCCGCTTCGGAATGCTTCAAAGTGGTGTTGGAAATGATAGGCATCCCACACCTTGGAAATTTGTGTGAAAGGACGTGCGGTTTGCTTGATGCTTGAACATGGTTGCTTTTCCTTTTGAATGATAGGTTTGAACTCAGAGTCGGTGGCTTCCTTTGATCATGACCGGCTTGACCTTTTTTTTCCAATGGTTGTAGTCGTTTAGAAATGATAGGCGTGTCATTTTAAGAGCTTCGTATCCTTTCGAAAAGATTGCGCGGCTTCACCCTTCAAAATCTTGGTTTCAATTAGGCCATGATCCAAATGCTCCATGTTGATTTTACGTTTCACCTCAGATCGCAACAGCGAGTCTGTGATTTAACTTAACCTTGCCTCGTTTAGCTAATTTGAGCAGCTTCCACAGTCAGGTGCGGAGTTTCGTTGGGGCGGCGTGTGAAACACACCGCAGCTTCATGAAGCTTGCTTCGCGAGCCCATTCATCCAATTTATTTTCATATGGATAGCCAAGACCATATTTACATTTGACATAGCACACAGGTAAATCATTGTCTAAGACAACTCCTTTTGCCCGGCTGCTGGCTGCCGCCTCTTGTGTTTGGTGTGTTTGCTGCGTTTTGGTGCCATTGCATACGGCGCTTCGACTGATTGAATGAGGGGCGGGCATCGGGGTGCTATCCAACGGCCAATGATTTTATACAGATTGGCCAACAAAAAATGCCCCGCTGGGCTCAGTAAGAGTGCCCCCTTGTCTCGAGTTCAGGTCCTTAAACTAGGTGGTTTGGATTGTTGGTTGGGGATTTGAATCCCTTTGGCGGAATCAATGGTCAGGTCACTGCCTACCCTCACGCCCAACCCAACCAATTGGGGGTAAGGTAAGAAACATCTTGGTTTCTTTTTCCCTGTAATTTTTCCCACCTTCCCCATTTGGGTTATAGCTCGAATCCTTTGCCGATGGGCTGGGGCTCAAAAGCCCAAAGTGGTCGAGCGAAGTGCAGGCCTTCTGCTGGAGCACGGGCTACAGATACAACCCGCTGAATATGCCCGGGCACAGCACACCCGGCTGTCTTGCGCCAGAACGCGGCTGAACTTGAGCCACATGGGATCATACTAGTTTCCTTCAAAGGCCGTATGGACAGGTTGGATCCTATGAGGGTTCCGAAAGATTCCGGTGGGTGGGGGGGTAAAGCGAGGTCATGAAGAACGACTCCTTACCTGCAGGATTCCTTAGTCTCGGTTTGTGGATGATAGTAATTTGACCAGACGATTACACCTCACGAAGCCGCAGAAGAGGGCAGGAAGCCCAAAGCACCAGGGACCGATTTTTGAACCAACTTGTGGTCGGGTTGAATGCGATTAACCTGAAAGACACAAAGCTTGAAACGGGTAGAAAGCAGATGGTTGGAGAAACTGAAGGACGTTGCAGATGGGCATTTCGCGTACAACGTAGTTCTGGTTTAACATGACCTGCCAAGCGGGAGTGCAACCGTTCTGGTTTGTCGTGACTCCACTAAGCTTTGCGTGTGCAATGGGCGCTTCTTTTTTTCTTTGGAGAGTTTTCCTTCTTTTTTTTTTCAAGGAAACAAGCCATTTGCCTAGTTCCCCATGTTGGCCGTCTTTCAGGAACATTCGAGAAGGAAATGGATGGCCGTTTTACTCCAAACCAACTCTCGCACATGAGCCATTTTTTTGGGGTGGGGTGGTTGCTTAAACGACAGTGACAAAGGAAAACAAGCATTTGGATGGGGGCTTAGTTATGGATTGTTTACTGAGGGGGTGGGGCACACAAAATTTCCCACAAAGCAGGGGTTGAGACCTCGCAATTTTCACTGGTGCGCTTGTGTCCTTTGAGGGAACCCTTATTTAAGTTGATTTGAAGCACCAAAAGGAATGCTGGGGTCCCCCCTTATTTTGGCAGGTGCCTACGTCCTGTTGGCCAAATCGCAGACTGAAATTACTACCTCATGAGGGAAATGGGGGTAAAAATACCCTTGTGCAGGGGCTATATATCGTGGTTTTATATCCCATGTGATTTCTGGGTCCCGGATGCTCCGGTTTGGTGAAAACCATCGTAGATCTCAATTTGGTCCGGTCATGTGCATCCCCCCCTGAATAAGAGCTTCTTAGAACAGTACGGGCGTAAGAACCCTCAATTGGTGGGTTGAAGTGGTGGTTGGGGGATTTCAATCCCTACTTGTTGTAGAGGGTGAATTGGAAACCAGACCCTACCGTCCAAACCGCCAACCCAAACCACCAATTGGAAGGAGCTGAGCCCCCCCACCAAAAAAGCAAACACACACACACACACATACACTTTTCAGGGGGCACGTGTTAAGGGGCACATGGCCGTCCACCGCTAGCACCCATTTTGCACCACACGGCCGCCCGACGCCTGACATGAGCCCTTGTCACATCTTGGCCAGGCAACACTGTGGAGGAGTCCGCATCAAAGTGCCAGCAGCGCTCCTTGGATCAACTCTTGTGAAATGTCCGCAGGGTTTGGTTGAAGCACCCCAGCTTGGGTCAGGAATGGTGGACCTCTCCATGTGCGACCCTCTTTGATTTTGTTTGAACCCCCCACATTGCCAACAGTCAAAGGTGGGATTTTACACGACCACTACAAGGATTCTTGGTAAGGGCGCCATGATCACCCGCGCTTGACTTGCGACCGAAGACCATGACCCACATAAAGAGTTTGATGGGTGCCTTCAACATGGGTGACGCTATGCACACTGCCAGTTTGCATATGAGTTCTCAAACCTATCAGAGGGTCGGGACTTGGAGAGGAAACACATATGGCTGTGGCTCAAAAAACTGGAATTCCCAAATGGAACCCTGGCAAGTGGAAACATGGGCCAAAACCCGCTGTTTGCCCCTCCTCTTTAATTTTGAGCCACAGCCATATACTGCAACAGAGAGCAGACATTGTGGGAATCTTGCTTGTCCAAAGATCTGTGGCTTCCCCCGTGGTTTTATGTTGACAGAGGTGCATTTTGCCAAGGGATGTTAGGACTTTCACCTTTTGCCAACTAGTGGGTTTTCCGTATTAAATCACCAAAAGTTAAACTTTTAGCAGGGGAGCAGAAAGCAACCGAGTTTAGTCAAGGCCCCAAAGGCTTAAGCTTGTACTTCTGGGGTCCATAAGGGGCAACTGAGCAAGTTGCAGTTTGAGCCCCGAGCGCTCGCGACCTGCCGTTCGCCCGAAGGTTGCGCGAGCGTTTCGGGCTGCGCCCACTGGTCCTTCTACGGCAACAACAACTGCTACCTGCACAACAGCCAAAGCCTGAGTGGGCGTGCGAGGTGTGGTCGAAATGTCCGGACATGGGGACAGTGGTCATGATTTTGACTGTTTCTGGGGGGTTGCAAAGTCAGAAGACGGGGTTGTTTCCCTTTAACCCGCCACTTAGGGGGTGTCTTTGATCATGGTAGAATAGTGAGGCCAGTGGGGAACTCAGTTAGTTTGTCAGAAGAAGCAGGAGACTCACGAATCGCCCCAGAATCTCTTGACGTGCTTCATGTGGAAAGGGCTGGCATCCCTCTCCCTCGAGTTTGCGAGTGGAATCGCAATGATCATTGACACAATTCGCCAACGTTGCCAGTTGTCTCCCTTTGAACGCCAACAAATCAATAGACAAGGGATCCTGCCACGTATTCCTACATATGTTAAAAGTACTCCGAGTCAGACCTGGGATGAATGTGACACTCTTCCAATTTGGCCTGAAAGCGTTGTACTGGGCTCATTCAAGTGAGACTCGCAAGAAAGGGACCCTTCGAATTGTGGTTTAGCGAGAATTCCACCCCCCAACGAACGTGACCACTCCAGTGAAGCCGGCCACAAGCACAAGCAAACAGAAGGAGCCAGGAAACTTCGAGTCTACTGCATGTCAAAATGGAACCCAAACAACCACTATTCTCAAAAGCGGAGTTTCCTTTTGGGTGACCTCCCGGTTGGCTTCTATGCCGATTTCTTCCTGTTGGGGAGGTCCTCTTTTGGGCTCCTGTTAATGTGCAGGCGAGTATTTTAGAACGCCAAACCCTGGACCCTGAACAAAAGCAACACCCCCCAAAAAAGAGGTTGCAAAAGTGAAAAGTTCCAAGTGGGTTGAGGCCAACAACAAACGGAGAACCCACATGGCTGGACCTTTCAACTTGGCTTCCCTTGAAAATCCACAAAAACATCGGGGAACCCACATAGCTGGACCTTTCAAATTTCCCCTGAAAACCCACCCAACACCTTCACCTCGATTTCTCTTAGAACCCCCCGAGGCTCGGCGGAAGTGGTGTACGACCGCTGGGTCCAATCCGGGCAACCCACCTGCGAGGAGGCGTTGGGCGGAGGTCTCCTTGGTGGTTCCCAGCCATCCTGTGTGGCTTGGTGGGTGGTAAGGGGCAAAAAAAGTGTCCTTTTGGTTTCCTGGGTTTTGCTGGGTTGTTCGTGGTTTGGTGAGTTTCCTTGGTTTTGTTTCTTTGGTGTTCCTTGGTTCTTAGTGGTTTGGTCGGTTTTCTTGGGTTTTAGGTTGGCTTTAAGTTGGTTTGGTGGTAGTTGCCCAGTTCCCAAAAGTTGAGGACAGCCCGAGACAGAGAAAATGGAATGACCACTTCCTATATTAGATACCCGTGGAAACTGACCAAAAAAGGGGTGCGCTCAGAAACCGCTTACCCAAAGCTCCCCTAAAAGATGCGGGTCACATCTGCCCTCCAAAGCTACCTTGTAGGCTGCGTCACCCAGCCTTCTGCCTTGCATGCAGCGCCTATTGCAACTTCAGAAAGCTCCGTCCCATGTTGCTCTCGATGACTCGGCGCAAAAGGTGGAGCCGGCACGCACCGCGCTCCCGTCGTTTGGGCCAACATTCGACTTAAGAGTCAAGAGCTGGAACCAACGCAAAGGTATGCCCACAACTTTCGTAATAAAATAAGAGTGCGGCCGCAACGGCTGCCTGCCCAGGCTTTCATGGTGCTTTTCCTGGCAATTTGGGGGACCCCTTTCATTTCAGCATGGGCCGTTCAGAGCCGACCTGGGCCGATGCCAAGAGCGATCCCGAGTCGTGCGTTGCCAGCCACTTGTTTGACCCCTTTGCCTTTCCCAGATCCCAGCCAGCCCGCTACAAAGCCAACTGAAAGCCAAAAGGCTTTGGGCAAACTTAAGAGCCTTTTGGCCCAGGGAACCATAACATTGATTGCCCATGACCAAGCAAAAAACGCTACAGGGAACCGCAACATCATTTGCCCCCGAAAAATCCAATGAAACTCGCAACACGACCACCAGCTCCCCCGGGTTTCCCTCGAAGCAAAGGACCCCCCGCGCTCTCTCGGTCCCCTTCCGCGGCGCGCCAGTCCTTGTCCGACCAGCGCTGGAGCTTTGTGGAGGCGGATGCCAGCCAGGGACCCACCAAGGGCCTGCCACTTGGACCTGAGCAGCCGGCGGCGGGGGGGGGGGGGTGGCGGGGGGGAGTTTTCCACTGCGTACGGTATAGGGGTCCCGTTTTTTTCTGAAGGTTAGTTTGGTTGGACATAGATGGGTTTTAGTGGTGGAGGTTGGTTTCGTTCCATTTGCCAGGGTAGTCTATTTTCCTAAAGGGACACCCATGCTTCGCTTGGGTTTCCCTGAGGTTTCCGCCATCAAGGTAGCCATTTTCAGGTGACCAAGCCACCAAGCTCGGTTCGGGTCGTTTTGGTTTCATATCGAGATGTCTTTTTGTCCTTGGAGCAACTCTGGGTTCCATTTTTTCAATGAGACAAACACTGATACCAGGCAGAAAGACAGCACTCTTTCCATCAAGCACAAGTCCTTCAATGTCCAACTTTTCACCTTGGTGGGTCTACAGTGGCACCCCAAAAGTCGAGTCGAGCCAAACCGAAAGCTTGGCAATCCGGAAACTGAGGGCCCTGTCGGATCAATGTGGACTCGTTGACTGGTTGATCACCGCTTGGATTTGTTCTAGCACCGATTGAACTGGGCCAAATGTCGGCTTTGGTTCGTTTTGGACTCCAAGCCCCCCGTGTTTCCTGTTGGGGGGGGGGGGCGGGTTTTGGCTGTTGCCTCGGGCCGTAGGCTGTAGTCGCCTTTGGTTTCCAGGCACCCTAAAACTGTCGGGGCAAGCTGGCGATGTATCTGGAGTCCTTGTTCATAGGTGTCCTTTGGTTGTTTTGGTAGACAAATAGATGGCGATTCCTGGTTTACCTGGTGGTTTAATCATCTACCAGGGCCGTCTATTTCCTCTAAAAGGACACCTATGTCCTTCTTCTCTTTTGCACAACTGCATTTTGTTTTTCCCCATTTTTGTACGCCCCACATCTGCTCGCCTCAGGCTGCGCCACTTCCAGCATCTGCTTTGCATGGATCCGGTCGGACTGCCTTTGCCAGGAGCCACTGTGTCTGTGTGTGTGTGTGTGCGCGTATGTCTGACTAGTGCCCTTCGACCGTTTTTTTTGGCCGGGAGGGTTCCCCTACTCAAACAGACTACAGACAAAAGGGTACCCTTATTCTAACCTCTCTGGTGAAAAGCCTAGTTGAGGTTGGACACTCTTTCACCTTGATTCAAAGGGACATCAAAAGGAAAGCTGCAATTTCATGGATCTCCAATTTTTAAGCCCTTTTTGAGTTGCAACAGTGAGTATTTGCCGCTGGTGCCATGCATATGTGTTCTCCCCCTAGGAAAGGACCCCATCAGGGGCTGAATGTGGCCTGCAGCACTGTATAGCCACTATATATATGAGAGGTATAAACTCCATTCTCTCCGGAGTTTAAGTGCTTTGGGAAGTATACTGTATGACCTGGGTTCACCTACTTTTGTTTGGTGCTTTTGGTACCATGATTTTTGGGGTCATTTGTGGAATTTCCCATCGTTCCCCAAACATCCAAGGGGGTCCCCCAAACATCTTTTGGACGAGGAGGGTCCCAAAGGCTCCTAAGAAACTGGGCTCCGCTCAGGAGCGCCGGCTCCCACAGAGGCAAAGTTGGCGACCTGCCTCATGCACAACCCAGCCACCGCGCCTGGGTGATTTTTGATGGGGCTTGCTCCAAAAATGATGCGTGCCCCCCTAAAAATGGCCCCGAAAAAAGCGCCTGTTAAAAATTTGGTGGGGTTCCGTTTAGTTTGTTTAAAGTTTCAACCCGGCGGCTTTTTCGGTTTCCTCTTTTTGGGCAACCAGGGTCGATATGGCTGTGGGTCAAAACCAATGGTACCATTTTGGGGTAGGTGGATTCACCACCCATTTTAGAACCTTGTGTAGTGGTTGGATTGAATCGGATGTTCACTGGGGGTACGATTCGGATTTTGAGAAGCCCATGGCCATATGTTGCAACCAGCCCCGAAAGCGACCCATCCGCAGTTTTTTCAAAAAGGAATCCTTCGCTACAAGGCAGTCAATCTGTTTTCCACAAAAGGTGGCAAAAAGACCCCGAAACGGAGCGACCCATCTGCCACTTTTTGGATTCTGAGGATCAGGTCTGGGAGCTCACCGCGAAGGGCCAGCTCTACAATCCTGCCAGCCACTTGTCGCCGAGAAAGAGGGGAGTCCGGGCCACCCCTCGTTATTGGTGGCTTGCCCTACCGCAAAACACCTGGAAAAAAATACACGAGCAACGGTCAAGTACGACATCTCTTTGTAAACAGAACTCCGGTTTGCTTGAGGAGCTGCTTTGACGTGAGCAAAAAGTACATTTGGAATGGGGCTACTGAATACGACTCACCTTAAATACCATGTCATTTCGGGGGAATATTGACCGGGGCTCATATTCAAATTCAAGCGGGGCACACCACATTCAGGGACCGAACTTCTGAAACATGGCGGAATACTACAGCTCACGCCTTAATTTCAGCCAGACATTCGTACTTCCATGATTGGTGGAAAAGGGTATACGAGTGTCGTCTTTTTTTCTTCTTCTCAGGTTACCTTGTTCAGCTTGGTGTGAAGGAACACGAAAAGGACACCCACCCATAGGGGGGTCCCTCATTCGCAGCGTCCGATTTCTTTTTTGTGGCCGTCGACTTCCTAGGTCCCCCAGTAATTAGTGCCCTTTTGCCAACTTTTTTGGGGAGGGTTCCCCTACTAAAATATTCCCTACTAAAATAGACTACAGAAAGAAAGAGAACAAAAGAGACAAAAAACGGCTACCAACTTATTCGAACCTCAAACGACTGGAGGACCAACGACCAGCTGACACGACGCGTTTCTCGCCTGAGGTGAGAAGTGCCTGGCCGTGGTGGTGCCAACGGACTGGGAGCAGCAGCTCGAGCAGCAGGCGGGCGCTTCGGGCGTGCGGCTTCGGCTTCGGCCGCGCGCGGCGGGTCGACGGACGCGTGTGGGTCGAGGGTCAACATGGCTTTGTTGCATTGTATATATGTAATATGGTACCCCCCTGGAATCCCCAGGTTGTAGCCTCTATACTTGGTGCATTTTGCCAAGGGATGTTAGGACTTCAACTTTTTGCCAACGAATTTGGGTCTTCCGAATTAAACCCACTAAAAGTTAGTCACTTTTAGCAGGGGAGCAGAAAGCAACCGAGATGGGAGGTGTGAACCTCACTTTTTCTGGGGAGCGCCTTGAAAAAGACCTGCAACAGGGTGTTTTGGAGGAGGAAGGTTGGGTTTAGGTTACCACTCACTTCCTGAGTTCCTGGAAAGCAATTCTTTAGGCTTGGACCAGCGTGGTAAACAAGCAGTTAAGTTTTGTTCTTGTCCAATCCACCCCGGTGAGCTGAAATGGCGAGCTCCGAACTGGGTGCTTCCCATTGAAACAACCCCCTACTACAGGCTGCCCTGTAAGAAGGACACATCCATACAGGAATTCTCCACCCCCCCTCCCCGCCCCCGCTGGCAACGTCTGGCTCTGGCTCCAAGCAAAAGAGTGGGGCGCCTGCAAGGGGCTTTGGGTTTCTTTTTGGTGACTTTCCAAACACTAATCAACAAGGGTCCGCCGCAATTTCCCCAAACCGCCTGGTCCTGGTTTCAGCGGACTGAACTTGACTGCAGCAAGCCGGCGTCACTTGGGGGCTTCTGTGATTTCTGGCCAGGAGCAACCTCCAGAACCGCTTCCCTTCCCCGAAGCACCCCCCTCCCTTCCCTCTCCTCCCAATCCTTCCCTCCCTTCCCTCCCAACCCCAAACCCCAAGCCCCTTCCCACCCACACCTTTTGTCCGAACCTTCAGCTGATCTGGTTGCCAAAAAGAAATGCACGCATCGTCCGGCGATGTGAGTGGCCTTTTGATGCCAGTGTGTACGTGGTGCCTGCGTCATGAGTGGATGAGAGACACCTCCCCACCCCACCCACCCCACCCACCTCCCCACCCCACCCACCCCACCCACCTCCCCACCCCACCCACCTCCCCGCCCACACCCCACCCACCTCCCCACCCAGTGCCACACCTTCCCCCAGGAGAGCCTCGCCTTCCTGGAGAGCGCCGCCACTGTGCTCGCCGACTGCGAGGCCTCGCCCTTCCAGATCTTCGAGCCCCGCGGCCATCGACGCCGTCGGTTTGGGATGGGCGCGGCACGTTTTTGGGGCGCGGCACGCGCTGGTTTTTTGTTCGCGGGAGGGGTGGTTTTGGTGTTTTTTTCTTTCAACGAGGGGTGGGTTGCAGTGGTTTCTGCTTCTTTCTTTTTGTGTTTCTTCTTTTTTTTGGGGGCGGGGGTGTTCTTTTGGACATCCAACTGTCTGAATAGCTTTCCCTTGTTGGGATCCAACCGTTGGTGCAATATTTGGTGGAACAGACCACGTTGTCCTCTCATCTTGGACCACTTTGGAGGGTGGGGGCTCTGACTGAATAAGTGCAAAGAGATCCACTGCTCAGCTTGAGGTACGAGTTTCCCACCTTTGACTCGGTGCCATCGGAAGTTCCAGTTGTCTGTCAAAGTTCAGTTTCATCCAACGAGAAGTAGCAAGAAGGAGGGAAGAAGAAGGAAGAAGAAGAAGCAGAATAAACAGAAGAAGAGCAGGAAGAAGAAGAAGAAGAAGAAGAAGAAGAAGAAGAAGAAGAAGAAGAAGACAAAGACGAGGACGAAGACGAAGACGAAGACGGAGATGAAGCCGAAGAACAAGATAAACAAGATGAGCAAGAAGAGACATAATGAAAAAGAGAGAACAATGTGATGGATAGAATAAGGCAATTTAAGAAGAGTAAGAATAAGGTTGCAAACTTGCGCAGTAGTCAAGAGCTGCCAAAGATGTGACGTCTTGTGATTCTTTTGATAGTTTTGGGTACATTCTTTTCCTACAGTTTTTGTGTTGTGACACTTGTTATGCCCCTTAATAGATCTCTGGTTCAAACATGTCCCTTGCTCCTGGACATAGAGGGTTTGGACAGCCTCCACCCTCCAACATGAAGCCAGACTGACAGTCCCTGGAAGACAGCTTTCCTTGTTAACGAGCCTTCTGGTGTGTTGCATGGCAACACGTGTCTGTGTTTCCTGGGTTACCCTTTACATTCTTTTTTATGTCCCAGGCTGCCACCGCATAGGATAAGCACAGCTTTACGTGGGCAATTCGGGGACCCCTCGCCGTCGGTTGGGGAGCCCAAAGAAAACTGCGAAACCCCGTCCGTCACCTCGCGCGCTATGAGGCTGGAAGCCAGCACCGCCCACCTCAAGGTGAACGGCAACATGGCGGGACTGAGACCCTTCAGAGATAGTCTGAGGCCTAAGAGAAGCTCTTTCAGAAAAACCCACCATATTTTTTTGGGTTTATCTCGAACTAGGCCCTATGGCGGAGTCAGACCTTTCGGATTTTTTTTAGGGTTTTTGTTTTGCCTCTAAATGGGTATGGGTCAAAATTAGACCACCAGGAAATGGACCGCAGATTTTAGTCAATGTTTCCATTTACCAAGGCAACCCATTTTGGGTACATATTTTTGACTCACAGCGAGGGTCAATAAATCTACGGGATCCCATTTTGGGGTAGGTGAATTCACCACCCATTTTAGAACCTATTTTAGTGGGGATTGGGATGTTCACTGGGGGTATGGGGTTTTGACCCGTAGGCAAATAGGCCTAAGAAAAGCTCTTCAGAAAAAGAACAAACACATAACTGCCCCGTAAAAGCTGGGCTGGGTGGGGGGGAACCTCTGAATGCTGGGTATTTTTGTTTATTCCTCCGCCAACGAATGGGCTCCCGCTTTGAGGAAGAGCGGCTTCAAACACGTGTGGACGGACGACTTCGTGCAGTTGGGATAGATGAACCCCTACTGGATTTTGCATGTCCGCAGTATCACAGAAGTGGACGTGGGTGTGTCGTTTTAGGGTACCCCTGGTTGGGTGGTTCTTCAATGTTGCCCATTTCGCCATTTTGGAGTCCCCCCCACCAAAAAGGACACACCCAAATCCCAAATGCAATTCCCACACTAGGCAGCGATTACTGCCTCACCACTTCCTCCGCGGCTTCGGGTGCGACCATTGTCAGCTCCTCCTGCGCTGCGGACATGTCACTTGGCTAAGCCGCTGAGGTTTTTGTGTTTCTTGGGCTCGATTTGGCCGTCTTTCCATTTTAAGGTTTGAATGTTCACGGGATATAGAACAGAGGGCACCCCCAAAGCTTGGCCGCTCTTTGGGATGAGTAACCTACTCTTTCTTGAACTGTTTGGTTGGAAATGACAAAGGTTTCCTCAAAAACAGGGAGAACGTCCAACCTGTAGTTGCAAAAATGACCAACCCAGCTATGGGTGGTCTACTGTTCACATGTTGGCGACCTGGACCCTCAATTCCCACCGGGAAAAGAAGAATCGCATGTACTCTTGAGGAAGGAGACGATTGTTTGGTTGGTTCGCCTTTCTCTCAGGCCTCAGACTGCCCGTAGGTTTGGATGGCTCGGATTAGTGGGTGGTTGACGCGGAGGGGGGGGGTTGAACCCGCTCTGGTAACCGGGGATGACACTCTCACAGGACTCAACCAGCCAGGGCAGGGTGATGCAGCTCCCGGAAAAGGATTCCGCAGAAGGACCGCCCTGTAAGCTGAAGCCACCAAAGAGGGGCGCCATGTTATGTTCCTAGACTGGATCGGAACATCAGTAATGGGAATTCCCTCTGGTTCCAAAACGTGCACCCTGTTCCCAAGGAGAAGCCAAACAGGAACAAGCAGTCAAGCCATTTCTCTCATGGTTCCAAAAAAGGTTTCGACTGGACGTGCTGTTTGAAAACGAGCCAGGGAGCCGTCACTGGCGTCTTTCTTTGGAACCCTCATTTCGGGGTTAAAGTCAGAAACTGCTTGGTTGTTTCCCTTTAACCCACCGCTTATTGGGTGACTTTGGTAAAATCATGTAAAAGAGCCAGCAGGAATTTCTAAATGCCCCCCCAACACATGAACGGATGTCCGGCAGAAGCGCTGTTCAAAGGAAATCCTTAGTTAATCCTTACCTATGCCCTTTGTGGTGGCTCCATGGATTGGCCAGCACGAACCATTTTGACACTTTCCCATGCCTTCACTTCCAGTTCCAACTTTTCCCAGCCCACATTTGGGAGACTAACTGGTTGGTCGTGTCCCTTGGACCCAGGGCTTGGGGGTGCGACGGGGACGCCCGCGCGTTAACGCGCGGCTCGCGCGTTCGGCGCGTTGGTGGGCCGCGATAGGTCCATGTCCTGGGAGTTTGTGGACACCGCTGCGGTGGCCCAGCGCTGCATCCAGCTCTGTGGCCAGGCGAGGTGAGCGAAGCATGTGGGTCGCTCAACATGGGAGGGGGATGGTGGGGGGTTGACGGTGGGTGGGGGGGGGACCCGTTGTTTGGATGTTCACAGACAGAAGCTAAAAAGGAAGCGAACTAGTTGTTGGCGTCTGCTTGTTTAAGATGCAAACATCTTGGGCGAATTCAGTATTCTCCACAAGTTTCGGCATTATTTGGGCTGTTCAAGTTGGGGAGGGATGGGACCCCTTTGCTATTTCCTTAGTGAGGATCAAGGATGAGGAGTGGTCAGTCCAGTTTCAACAGTACCGATTGTAGCTGCTGGAGTCACATAAATATCTTATAGACCTTACATCTACATTGAAACAATTTAGGTTTCTTAGTGCTTCTCAAGTGAGTGCGATGCGAGCAATACAACACTGCCGTCACTTGCTTTTGCCTGTGGCCCTCTGGGTTCTCATCAATTTCGGGTGCTCCAAACGGCAGTTTTGTCAAGACAAGAGCAATTTGGGGTATGGCGGTGTTGAAAGATGAGACCCAAGGCTTTACAGCAGGGAGATTGCATTTGATTGTACTTGGGTGGCCCTTAGGGAACAAGATTAGACGGACCGAGCTGATGCGGCAATCGCACATTGAGGAATCATTGTTCCGAATGATCCCGATGTTCAAGTATTCAGTGCAGTGAAAATAAGCGCGGCCTTCGTGACATTGCGCTTTATGATGACATGATATTGCAACACTTGCATTTGACCCCTACCATGCTATTGCACCTTGCCCCGCGCTTGCAAGTCGGGAAGCAATGGAACCCCCTTATCTTCATTTGCCAATCTAGTTGAACTCAGGAGGCAGATGCAAGTTTCCAAAGATAAAGCAACCATGAGTTTTTCGTGAACATATAGACCACGGGTTCATACCGGAGGTTCATCCATGGATCCATACATTTGGGGGATGGAAGCACAGACAGGAGATCTTCGACGTCTGGTCTCTCATCAACAATGTGCCCTGGCGAAATCGAAAGTGGTGCTGAAGTCGGGTTCTTTCATGGCTCCTCTCCCTTTCCCTGAAGCAACTGTCAGGCCTTAGTAAGGCCTTATTGGGCTTGTTTGGAGGACACATTAGGGGAGGGGTCGGGAAAGGGATCCTGGCATTGCCGGGTGCGAATTAGACGGCTTCCTTGTACAACGCGTGGGTTTCCTGACTAAGTGTCTAGTGTCCAGTGATAGTGGATTCCTCAGCAAGCAACAACTGTGTTGGACGAGTGGCAAAGACACCCAAGGTTTGCTATCATTTCGGGCCGGAGTTTGGACTAGTTGCAAACCCACATTTAAATATGGTTCCTTTTATAGGAAATGCCAATCTGGAAACAAGCAACCGATTCGAACAATGCCAGGTTGGGGATTCCCAACTGCAAGTAGTGTTTGTCCTGGGTTGGGAAATTGCCGCATTTGATTTCCACTCTGAGTGCTTGCAATGCAATCATTGTCAGGCTGGTGTGAGATGTGTGTGAAACTTAGTCGGACAAAGTCGGGCAGCTCATTTGAAGCCCGTAGCTTTTTTAGAATTTACTGATGCGTTTGGCCCTGCAGTGGTTGGTTTCATTGATACCTGAAGTATGAAGCAAGTGCAGAATAAGCTGGAGAACCGTGGTTGGTTTACCTGCAGTTGCTTACAGTTGCTTGCATATGACCGGCGTGCGGTGCCAACAGGTGATGGGCTCACCGACGCACTGCGGGGATATCAGCCAGCCCTCCCAACCCCATGGCTGTGAGAAGGGTCCCAAAAGGGTCACTTGACAAACCATGAGCGCCAGGGGATCCCTTTGGAACGTATATGTATATGGGTTTGTCTCAAAATAGGGGAACTCCAACAACGGGTGGGTTCCTTTGCGTTTCCTTTAAAACCACTCCCCAAAAAGGGTGCCCTCAACAAGAACGCACTCTCTATATGAACCGAACTGCATTCCACACCTGGATCTTTCAGGCGCCCTCCGAAACCCGTCCTCGTTTCGGGAGCTTCACGGTTAGCCGAGGACTTCCACTGCCACTGCGGCATTTGGTTCGTGAACCCAGGCAAAGCCGGGGTTCTGGCGCGCCGGGATCACGTGGCTTCTGCGGTTTTCTCGCTGAACGCCCCGGTGGAATGAACCCATTCCCCGATTCAGGAACCCACCAGTTGCATGGTTGAGTCGTCCTTCCATTTCTCATGTCCCTGTATCTCTCGCACCGATCGCAAGAGGGTGGCCTGGGCTATCATATATATATATATATATATATATATATATATATATCAGTTTCCTTGGTGTTGAAAAGGGGATTGTAAGAATCACACCCTCCTAGATAGCCAAGTTGCTGCTGGTTTCGGTCACTGTTGCTGGTTTTTGGGTTAAAGTGGATGGAAAAAGCAGCAACTGGCGATCCAGGCTGGCCGAAGAGACCCAAGATGGAGGCTGAAATCACCTCGGCCAACCCCAAACCCCAAGCACCAACAACCCCACGGGACAGATCCCAAGCCCTCAACACCCCAAACCCCAAAAAGCCCTACAACGTTGAACCCCCAAACCCCAGAGCCCTCGAGCCCTGAACACTAAACCCTAGAGCCTCTAAACAATCTAAACCCTAGAAGTCCTAAACCCTAAAGCGCACTGGTTCTAAACCCTGAAATCCCCCGAACATCCCGAACGCCTAACCACCAAAAGTCCTGAAATCCTTAATCCCTAAAAGCACTAAGACCCTAAACCCTAAAATCCACAACCCCCCAAAACCCTAAACCAAATCCCTAAACCCTAGAATCCGCAACCCCAACAAACCCCAAAACTCATAACCCTAAACACCCTCAAAACCCTCATCCCGAAAACCCCTACTTACCCTAAGATTCCCTCAACCCTACTTGGTGAGGAAATCCATCTGACAAGTGGTAGCTCCTTGGGGGAAGCTACCAGGTAAAGCTTCCGTGTTTGTACGGCTACCTTTCAGACCCCGCACGATAATTTCAGTCAAGCGCGAGGGCCGTTGAAGTTTTGCCTTTGCGCAGCGCAAGCGCGGCCATCAGATGCCGGCCATGGTGTGTCAGGAAGTTTCCTTTGGGTTCCCGAACAGCTTCTCTTTTCTTGTGTTACCAGTCATGATCATTTCCCTTCAAAGCCAACAGGGAAAACCAAGTCGCCTGGAGCAAATGGAAGTTTCCCTTCCAAACCCAGACATGACGAAACAAAAGGCCACCAACTTTCCGGAACGCTTCCCTTTGAGTCAGCAGCTTGGGCCCCTCTAGGTTTTTTCATGAACGACCTCATCGAGGGCGTTCAGGAGAGCGCGGGAGCCTAGACAGGGGCTAAGGCCCAAAGGCCCTCTGGGCGAAATCAACCGTGGTTAAAGGGGATGATATTGAACCTAGAAGTTCCTTTAAGACATATACCAAGATGGTCTTTAATGTCTGGATCCCTCTCCTTTGCATTTGTGTTGGAGTTTTATTTCCAACTGCTTTACAAGGGAAATACATTGGACCAGTGAAATCTGGATAGATCGATACATAGCTAGATAGATAGATGGATAGATAGACAGATAGATAAGATAAGATAAGATAATATAGGATAAGACAATACAAGATAAGATAAGATATGTAGAGACATAGATGGATAACTTGACAGGATATATAGGACAGATGGATGGATAGATGAACAGATAGAAATACGAGAACACATAATGAACAATAAGAGAAACATAAAGAGAGAGAGAGAGAGAGAGAGAGAGGGAGGGAGGGAGGGAGGGAGGGAGGGAGAGAGAGAGAGAGAGAGAGAGCGAGAGAGAGAGAGCCACACACAAGAAGAAAGACAAAGAGAGTGAACAAGAGACAGGCAGAGAGTGAGAGAGAGAGAGATAGGAACGACATGATATATAGAGAGAGAGAGGTCTAGAAAAACAGAGGGGAGAGAGATAGAAAAAGAGAGAGACATAGGAAAAGAAAGAGAGACAAAGAGAGAGAGAGAGAGAGAGAGAGAGAGAGAAAGAGAGATAGAAAGAGCGACAGAGAGAGAGAGAGAGAGAGAGTGACAAAGAGAGAGAGAGAGAGAGAGAGAAAGATAAATATAAATAAGACAACGAGAAAGAGAAAGATGAAGAAGAGAAAGCTAAAGATAGCAAAAGTTTGTATGTTTCCAGAAACTTCCGACTACCGGCTTCACCAGCTAAATGATAGTCATGTTGGGTTTGGAAGTTTGGAATCAACCGCCGGGGTCAAAAGGGCGCTGCCCATTTGGCACGTAATTTGCCCCAAACATCCACTCAGCCACCGGGCCGCAGGAGGAACCACCTGGGGTTTTGCGCATTTTGTCGCGTTGCCTTGGGTTGCGGGTTGTGGTCTTGGTCCCAACGTGTCCACCATGTGGTTATTTCAGGTGTCAATTCTTGTGTGCCAAAACAACTCAGGCAGGCCCATCTGCCAAGCAGCACTTTTGGGCTTTCCCCGGAAGCCGTGGGCTTCCATTTGCGTGTCTTGGCAAGTTGGCACCTTTCTTCCCCGCGCTGAAGGGGCCTGGTGCCTGGTCAACCTTCCCCCTTTTGGGCGCCCGCCCTTCGAAACCCGAAGGTCGGGCTTCCGTCACCTCGATCCAAGGTGTGTACGCATACTCGACCGCGCGCTTTGGGCTGCTGAAACCCGCGACGGCGTTTGCGCGCGGGGCTCGGTCACAGACACGGGTGACCCGAGGATCTTTGGAAGGAACCCGAAGTGTCTTGGGTTGTTGGGGTGTTTTCTTCGGGTGACGTGGAATTTGCAGATTCATGGGGGGTGTTCACCGAAAAGTGATTTGCATCCCTCTGCAGTGGGTTGCTGCCCCTTACCTAGAAGTCCAGTTGATTACAGCAAAAGTGCTTCATCGTACTCTCAGCCTTCGTGCGATTTTCCGGCCGGATCTAGTTTTCCGGGAGGTGCTCCGGAGGAAGCTTGAGAGGTGTTTTGACGGCAGTTTGACCCAATTGCGAGCGCACGACTCGGGCCCCAATTCGGGACACTCGGACAAATTCAAACGCTGTCCAATTTTCACTCGCTGCGCGGGCGCCGGTTCGGCCGGGATTCGGAGCTTTTGGGTCCTGCAGGGATCAACACCATGCGACTTTTCAGGAAGTCGGAAAAATGAGGATGGGCCATATTGAGGGAGTGAAGGTGAGAACTCTGGCCGAAGCTTCTCACTGTGGAAAAGGCGAAATTTCGAGTCCTTTCCAACCCATCACCGACCTCCGACACCGAATGGTTTCTTGAAGGGAACCTTTTGCTGTTGGGGACCCTTTTCAAAAGCACTGCTCGGTGTCCCAGGTTAGGTTTTCCAGCCGAAAAGTGAGAGGGAACCCGAGGAGCGCCGCACCCCTTTCGGTCCATCCGGCGGATTCTGTTTGGTTCCCGCCCTCCCCGGGGAAGATGTGTTTAAGAGGACCCCGAAGAGGTGGGTGAAAGTAGATGCCACTCCCCATCCTAACAGAACATACCGGGATTGTAGTGCCATATTTCCCTTTTTGCACCCGGTGCATTTTTGGGGTTCACCCCTCTTGCCTTCAGCATGTACGTGGGCGGCTTGGCCGTTTTCTTCTTCTTTTTTTTCTTCTTCCGGAACCTGGCCCACTCCTCCCGATGCAACCCCACCCGGCCGCCGCGGAGCCGAGCGGAGCCCGAGCGGAGGCTGATGCCGCCGGCCACGGTGGAGTCCTCGCTGGCCGCGGGGTTCCGGGTGCCCGAGATGGAGAACACCAGCACCTCGGGCGCGGAGAAGTTTTCGGAGAAGAAGTTGGAGGGACTAGAGATGGGGTCTCGGAGGGGCATTCGGAGGGATTCGGAGAAATTCGGAGGGAGGCGCGTTCGGCGGAGAAGGAAGCGCCAAACAAAGGTTGAGTCGAGAAGGGTCAAGGGAGAAATTCGGAGAAAATTCGAAGAAACGATCGGAGGAATTTGGAGGGATCGTAGGGATCGGGTCTCGGGATCGGGTCTCGGAGGGATTCGGAGGGATTGGAGGGAGCCCGAAACCGGGTCCAAAAGGGCCAGGTTTGGTGTATAGGTTGAGTCGAAAGGGGCCAGGTTTGGGAGATAGGTTCTACCTAGATCGCCAAGTTGCTGACACTTCGACACTTAACCCTAAACAGTGCGACAGTTGGATGGGAAAAAGCAGCAGGCGATCCAGGCATCTAGTTGAGAGGGTTAAAAAAGTATCATGTTTCCCTGGAGCCTGTGCTTCCAGTTGAGTTCCCCTCCCAGCATGGAACCCGACCGGAGGTCACCGTCCCAAGGGACCTTCATTGGTTTGGGTATCGAATGTCGCAGCTTGACATGCTTGCTGCCAGCGAGGCATTTATGAGCCGGGCTTGGATATCCTGCAGGAAATCCAGGAAGAAGGCCGGCTTGGATCTCGTATTTTGAGGGTGTTGGGGTGGGCCGAAACAGCTCGGGCAAAAGTTGCCAAGTTGTTTCTTTTTTGCTAGATCAGCATGCCAGTACTGGATATCCGAGGCTCCTTTGCATTTTGCCTGGCAACTTCGTTCCCGCCTCGCTCTAGTTTCCCTCTTTGGCTTAAAAACGTGTTGTGTTTTTCCCCCTTGACTTTAAAGGGAGAAGGTCTCGATATGTCATGGCTTGGGTTTTCCCCCCGACGACTTGCCAAGGATACTGGATGGATGTTTAGACCAACCACAACTTTTCTCGGGTTTTCGAACAGAAAAACATGAGGCTGTTAGCCTTAAGGGTCTGGCAAGCAAAGAACCCACCACGACATCACCTCAAATCTGGAGGAAAAAACGGCAACCTCACAAAACTGGAACTCCCCCCCCTCCACCCCTTTATTTGTGCCCCCCCACCCCCTCTTTGCGCCGTGTTTCCCACTGTTTCGCCCAAATGTCAGCCGACTTTCGCCTGTTTCGGCCTTTCGGCTTAGGCCTCACGCCAGAGTCGAGCTTCGGGTTTGGGTACCTCAGCGAGGCCGAGCAGCCGACGGTGGAGAAAGTCTTCGTGGACGGCGTTGCGCCTCACGCTGGGAGCATGGGATGGTGCTTTCTGGAGAGTTCTGAGCTTGGTGGCTCCCAGCCGTCCCCTTAGCTTTTGAGTGTTTAGTGGGGTTTTCCATTTAGCCCACTAAAAGTTAAAAAAACTTTCAGTGGGGGATCTGAGGACAGCCTTGAGGGTACCCCGTTTTGAGCTTGGTGGCAGGGAAGCCAAATGGAACACCGTTTTTCAGGTGCGTGCCGGTTTTTCCGAGACACACGGACACACACTCATGGCGTTTCGAAGAGGTTTTCCAGTGGTCGTGTGGAAAGGTTGAACGGTTGGGTGCTAGTTGAGTTCCTTCGGCTCAAACGCAATCGAACAATATGGAACCCATATCCCATATCCAGTCGATCAGATGATCCATCGAGGGACCTACGGGCACGGAACCCGAAATATGCCTCTTGAACGCCTCAACACTGCCTCACGCAGGTTTCTGGGCACCAAAGCGCCCCGGAGTGTTGTTTTTTTGGCCCCCTTCTGGTTGCCTGTACACAAAATCCACACCGGGGGAGGCCGGATTTTTTTTGGACGTCGTGCTCGCCGCTCGCCCGCTCGCCCGCCCGCGGCTCCGCGCGCTTTTCTGGGCTCAGGAGGCTCTGAACCTGTCGGAGGGCTCCGTGGTGACCATCCACGTGAGCAACTTCCACGACATTAGCAGCGTTCAGGCGCATCGGAGGAGGCTTTTGGTGTTTTGGGATGGTCAAGGACTCCAGGACGCGAATGAGCTAACGGGGTCCGATGTCCCTGAGTTTGAGAATGGGAGAATTTGGAAGGCTGGAAGCCAGAAACTCTGGGTGCTGTGATAAAAAAAAATAATCCTCTGAGTGATACCTGAAAAAGTCAACCCCCTTGGGATACCTCCGGAAAGGTTTTTACGTGCCATGGGCTGAGAGGATTCCCAGAAAGGGTCCAAACACTCGGCCCACTGTTTGTTTGTGTGTGTGTTTGCTGTGGGGTGCCCTTTTCACGGCTGTTTTCAGACAGAGACCTAAACAAAAACAAGTCCACGCTCGTTCCCGAGCAGGCAGTTTGTTTTGTTGTCCTCTTTTTAGACTACCATCTTCTGGGGTCATGTGTTTGACGGTTTGTGGGGGCTATCAAAGTCCGAACATGGCATGCTTTTTGGTCCGTAACCACATATGGTGACTTTCAAGTACGAATGCCCCTGAAGGCTCAGGACCCCTCCTGGAGGTTGGCCAAGCTATTGATCACCGACCTTGGGTGGAGATAGCCCCTCCCTCTTGAAATCAATTGATCATTTGTACCCCTTATCACTCCCAAACCAAGAGGTACATGCATATTAGGCCAAAAATCCTCAGCCAGCCCAAAACACAAAGAAGAGGTAGCCTCCCATCAATGAACATGGAACCTGACAGGGACCCCGTGTCTTCAAAAGGAAAATGGTCCAAACCAGGTCCCCCCGAACGTCGGCTTCTAGGTGGGAGGGGTGGCAGAGTAGCCCAGGTGCCAAATGGGCATGGGTCAAAATCCGTCACCGGGAATTGGACTGCAGGAGTTGTTGTCCTTTCCATTCACCGATCGGGCCACTCATTTCGGGGTTACCCCATTTTTGATCCTCGGTGCGACCTGAGGGCGCTGGGACCTGGAAGCAACTGGCTTTTCAATAGACCTAAGCTTGCCAAGGGAACTCATCTTGGCTTTTTTTCCCCATTTTTTGATCCAACTCGATCGCCCCAAGTCGCCCCTAAGGGCGCCGCCCGGAAATTTCGGCGCCCATTGGCCGAGCTCAAATCGACTCGCCAGGTGTTCCTGGGGGCTGTGCAGGTGCCGGAGGTGACGGCGACCGAATCCATGGTGCCTTTGGGTGTATTAGATATGAATTGCTGAGCAAGAAGAAGACGGAAGAAGCAGAACAAGAAGAAGAAGAAGAAGAAGAAGAAGAAGAAGAAGAAGAAGAAGAAGAACAACATCACGACCTTGTGATCAAAACACAATTGACAATAGGGACACCACAACCACCACCACCACCACCACGACCACCACCACCACCGCCACCGCCACCGCCACCGCCACCGCCACCGCCACCACCACCACCCCCACCACCACCGGGAGCAGCAGCAGCAGCAGCAGCAGCAGCAGCAGCAGCGGCAGCGGCAGCATCAGCAGCAGCAGCAGCAGCAGCAACTCTGACAAAGAGCAACCGCGGCCACTACAACCAACACAAAGCAATCCTTGTGTGGCTGTCTCCGCTTCGACTTTCGCCTTTCGCCTCGGGGAGAAAGCCATCAGCGAATAGAAATGGGTGTGACTTGTTTTAACTTTTTGGGGACCCCAAGAATCGTTGGTTTCCATCGGTTTCCCTTTGAACACAAGGGGGTTGCCCAGAATAGACACACCCAAATGGCTAAGTGATTATAGCCATTCTGGCGTTATCATGACTTCGTTTGGTTCTAAAGTACACGACCCCATCCTGATTTTGACTCCCCTACAGTAGTCCCAGTTGGACTTCGATGGTGTCAGCCGATGACTGTGGCGTCAGTCAGCATGGACCAGCGTTATGACATGTGCGCCATGTACCCACTTTTGAAAACCACCCCCCCATATACTGACCCTTAGTGAATATCGGACACACGTTCTCCTTGGGCACCCAGCTCGTGAATTCTGTGAGCTGAGGTGACGTTTGTGGCGCCCGTGTGCACAGCGGGGCCGGTGGCGCTTTGGCAAGGTTGGATTGTTGGGCAACTTTTGTTTAAAGGAAAAAAGGAGGTTGCTTAAACCATACGCTTAAGCACCCCTAGTCCCCAGCATGCCTGGTTTAGTGCAACTTGGGTAGAGGGAACCCCGTTGCTTTTTTCAAACAGTATGCTTGAATTGCCCGACACGGCATTTGGGCTTCAGGTATTTAAGTTGAGCCAAGCGCGTTGCTTTGGTTCTTTGATATGCAGTAGTCGATATGTTCCATTTTCCTGCGTTTGTCCTGTCTTCGTCCCATTTGTGTGCAGAGCGCGTTCCCTGTGCCTGTGCTGTTTGTGCTTGTGTGCCCATGCGTATGCGTTTGTGTCCACCCACCCCTTTGTTGGTTTGCTTGTTTTGTTTTGTTAGTTTTGTTTGTTTGTTTGTTTGTTTGTTTGTTTGTTTGTTTGTTTGTTTGTTTGTTTGTTTGTTTGTTTGCCTTCTGCGTCGCACACTGCTCGCTTGGATTGATCCTGAGATTACTTGATTTGGTTTACTTCTCCCAACCGGGTCGCTTTAGCTTTGGCAACCCTTCAATAGCAAGAGGCGGCTGTGGGAGACCATGACCTGTTTGCGACCAGAGCATTTTTTGCTGATCTTGGCAGCTGAGGAGATGAAGATCATGGCCGGCTGGAAAGGCCAGCGGAAAAGGGGGGTCTTAGGGTAATCACCAGGGCCCTGATGATTGACAGGTGCTGAAGTTTGTTGTGGAGCCCTCTTTGGAACCCTTTGAAGACGGGACGGGGCATTTGCCCGCCCATCTGGACCGGGAAGGTTTTGGCTTGCGACCGGTTTCACCCGTCGTGAAGGGTCCTTGGTTTGTTTTCCCATTTTCAGGTTTGTGAATCATGACACGTAGACTCAATTCAGGTAAGCCCCAATGGGTGGTTTGGATGGGTTTGGGGATGTGAACCCCTCATTCTTGCATACTTGGGAAACGACCCGGATTGGGGATTTGAACCCCTCATTCTTGCATACTTGGGAAACGACCCGGATTGGGGATTTGAACCCCTCATTCTTGCATACTTGGGAAACGACCCGGATTGGGGATTTGAACCCCTCATTCTTGCATACTTGGGAAACGACCCGGATTGGGGATTTGAACCCCCCCATTCTGGGTTCAAATCCCCAATCCGGGTCGTTTCCCAAGTATGCAAGAATGAGGAAACGACTCGCATTGGGGATTTGAACCCCTCATTCTTGCGTACATGGGAAACCGTCCAAAAAACCTCCCAACCGCTCTTTGCCAGCAATGAGAATACATGTCCGGGTGTGTTTGGCTCTGCTGTCGTGGGGCCCTCGTCAGGTTGGGCGGATTTCTCGCCGCTGGTCGAGAACTCCGAGGCAGGGCCTGTTTGCCCGACATGTGGTCAGTCATGGGGGCTTGGGGGGGGGGGGGGAGGGAGCCCCAATAAGCCTCAAATAAGGCCTTATTAGGGGCTTAATAAGGGCTTATTTAGGCTCCCTCTCCTCCCTCCCCCCCGGCATTTGTAGTTGAATGACCTGCTGATCAAATGAATGAATGACCTGGCACCTCATCTTTCAGTTGGACTGATGACCACGCTTTGCCCAGGAGTACGATCGACCCTTCCAGCGGATCTTGCCGGACCCCGGTACAGCGGCTTGAGAGAGCGTGCACAGCTCATGGTAGCGCATGCCCCATCAACATCCCAGACGGCACCTAGGAAGGCTTTAGTAAGGGGTGTTTAACCGCGGGAACCGGAAGGCCTTGATGTTGACCCCACATTAATCAACCGTGTTAACAAAAAATATGGGGGGTGTTCCCAAAGTGATGATTCCCCACTCAACCCAGAAAACCCCTCAATTAGTAAGCTGGAGTTGATTAATATGGGGGCGACAGTACCAAGGGGATCTACATGGAATCCCTGGGCGCCGGGACTCTTTATGAGCATGTGCTTCTTGCAAGCGCAACGCAAGCTCCGCAGCCCTTTTTTTTGCCTTAGCAAGTGTTGCGCAAGCAATTCCGCGATGGGAAGGAACGGAAATTGCTGTGGGCCAAAGATAGGCACCCAACATGGAACGCTGTCAAATGGACACATGGACTAAAACCTGCGGGCCCCTGGTGGTTTAATTTTTACCCATATCCAAATGCCAGCACTGCTGCAATCAGTATGAACAACCACATTTGCTCGCTCTTCGAATCTTGAGTGTGTCTATTCTGCGACCAACCCACACCATTTGTGTGTTGATTCTGGACCTAGACAAATGTAAAGGGAAACCAAAATGAAACCAGCCGTTCTCAGAACCTCGGTTTTGAGGAAACCATTTGGCGATGTTTAAAGACTCAGCTTTCTGTGATACCGAGGGCAAATCCCCCTTTGCCACTGTCAAGAAACTCGTCACTTTGGTCTTGCAGTGCTTCAGTCAAATTTAACTAGGTCCCCCAGTAGTGCCCTTTTACCCTTTTTTGGGGGAGGGTTCCCCTTCTAAAATAGACTACAGGAAAAAATGAGTACCAACTTATTCTAACCTCTCTACTGGAGGAGCTAGTTAATCATCCTTCTTTCCATCTTCTGCATCTCTTTCATCCTTCTTTCCATCTTCTGCATCTCTTGGCACTTCTGGGCATCCCAGGCAATCATAGAGACACGGCGCGTTTTCGGCCTGTGACGAAAATCGAGGGACCCCCAAAATCCTTTTCCCTTTAAATGACCCCCAAAAACGGTGGTTTCCCTTTAACTCCACCCCAACAAGGTACCGAGCCTCAACCAAAAGCCGCCCTTGACACAGAGCCTTTCGCCGTCCCAGTTCGAGCGAGCGCAGGACTCGATCACGGTGCAGTTTGGGGACCTGAACGGCGCAGGGCCCTCAGGGAAGATCCGGGAGGAAATTGGCTCAGAGGTGAGGGGGCGTTGGCTCCGAGGAAATCGGCTCGGAGGAAATTGGCTCAGGGAGTTGGTTCCAAATGGGTCTGTGTCAAAGGGATGTGGACCTCCAAAAAAAACTTGGAGTTCGCTCCTTTTGGGTTCCTTTTTTGGAACCAACCTGCACAGTGGTTCTGTGGAAACGAAGAAACACTTCACACGTCCCCCGGTGTCCTACAGACTTTGCCGCCACGGAAGGCTTTGGGTGCCTCGGGCTTCCAGATGTGCAGACTGATTGCTGCTCACACGTGTGTTGCTAATATTATGTATAGATGCATATATATATACAATGCGTTCTCTCTCTCTCTCTCTGGTTATATACATGTATATATATATATATATATTCATACGTACATATGCACAAAAAGCTCTTTCTCTCTCTCTCTCTCTCTCTCTCTTCCTCTGTATATATATATATATATGTATATCTATATTGTACCTATGAAGCACACATATACTGCCGCGCGCGGTGAGGTTGACAGCCTCAGCCCCGCGGCCGGGTCCATGCTCGGCGGCGTGAAGGCACGGAGTCTGGCGGGTACCGCCTGAACTCGAGTAAACCTGCAAAGGGTTCCCCCCGGAAAAGAGAAAGGTGTTTTACCTGTTGGCTTCTCTTTAGAACCAACCGAAAGAATGGGTACCCTCAACAAAAGCATCACCCTTTTTCGGGGTCTGGTTGTTGGAGAAGCAGGGGCAGGGCTGGGGGGGGGGGGTTAGGGTTGATCACCTCATCTGCTTTGGAGCCCGAATAGTGACTATGACAAGGGGCCATTGAGGATAAAAGGCTGGAAAGGTCGCATTGGCTGCCCTTGTGAGGTGGATCACTGAGAATACTATTTGCACTATTTGCAGTCTATTCTTGGCTGGGCCAGGACAACCCAAAATTTAGCAATCATCTTGGGGACAATGCCATTTGCCCATGCCTTTGCGTGGAACACACAATATTGTTTTGACCCCAGGCGGGAAACATAGATGCGGTGTAGAACTTCATAACCACATTTAACTGCCCGTGTTATGGTGAGCTCATCTTGGGTAAACGAACTCACCATGCAAGTTCTTTACTTGTCAAGCAACTTACAGATCATTTACATATTAAGATTCACTACACACGAACCAGAGTCTAACGCTTGCAGATTGAAGCTCTCCTTCATATTTACATGATATCAAGGGCAAATTAATTGGACACAACCCATCATCCTATATACTAATCTCCTTGGCTGGTTTGCCATGATCGGCCTCGTGAATATACTCAGAAACTAGGGGTTCTCCGATGGTACTCTTTCTGGGTTGCTTGCAAGGGAATCCCACAGGACCGCCGAAGCCGATTTTTTTTGTTCGGGTCCATCGGTTTCGAGACGAAGCCATATGAAAATTGTAGGATCGTGCGGGCTCAAGCTTCGGTCACGACGGCACAAGGGCACGGGCTCCGCGCGGCCACCATCCGCCCTCCATTTGGTGCTAGTTTCCTCTTGCTCTACTGTATTCTCCAAACCATGTTCATCTTCGTAGATCCATACTGATACTCTGTGCGTGTGAGGCTCTGCAGCTTTTTCTGCTTTCCGTTTGGCTGTGGCTCAAAAGCATGTACCAAAATGGCACCCTTGGCAAGTGGAACCAAACACAAAAACCTGCAATTTGCCCTAGAGTGATTCTTGAGCCGCACCCACTTCCAGAGTTCCTGGACTTGAGTCACTGGTTGGCTCTGGTTTACGTTTCTTGGTCTTCAGTGTTTATTATTACTTGTATTATTATTATCATTATTATTCTTCTTTAACATCATTGTTATTATTATTACTATTATATTGTTCTTCCTTGTTCTTTTTTCCTTTTTTTTTGTCGGCGTGTTGTGGTTGGCTCTCGTCAGGTGACCATCCGCGGTGTTGGCTTCAAGCTGCCGAGCCCGGCGCCCGGGGGAGTGGCGGCCTTTGTTTCTCCCTTGTTTTCCAGGCTTCTTTTAACATCAGCCAATTGTTTTCCAGGTTTCTGGTTTCCAGGTTTCCTTTGAAATCAACCAATTTTGTTTTCCAGGTTTCCTTTGAAATCAACCAACTGTTTCAAGGTTTCCTTCAAAAATCAGCCGAAGACAGCACGCCCGAGGTGTTGTTTGCTTCCCCCATGGCAGCTGGGGCTTGGGGAATAAACTGCTGGGGAGATATGATCTGCATCGCGAGGGATTCCACCGATGCGCAGGGTGACATGAGCTCCCCATGTAGGTCCGCAACTTGGGAGCAACAATTGCAGATGCTTTATGTGGCTATGAATTTGAATGGAGAACACCTTAAAGAACGGCGGGTGGACATTGAACCCCTATATACAAGTTGTGTTCCAAAGGTCTCCTAATGAAGATTCATACCTGTGTAGTGACATGTCCTAGAGCACCCCAACATCTATCAAATGGTTTGTAAAGTGAGCTCGGGGGGGGGCTTGTTGTTGTTGCTGTTGGAGGGCGGGGGGCAGTTGACCAGCCACTGGGGGGGCTCTTTTCGGTTGCCTCAGGGTATTTTTGGTTGGCCATGGGCGATGAGCGTTGCTTCCCAGGCTCCGCGAACAACGTCACGGTGTGGCACAAGACCGGGCTACTGAAGGGCGAGTTCGCAGGCGGGGTCTTCAGACTGACCTGCCTGCGCTCTCGGATCCCAGGCCAAAAAAAAAGGGGCCCCAAAAAGCGCGAAGGGTTTCGGTTTAAATGACCATAGAGGGTAGCTTCGAGAATGTCACTTTAACGGGGCAAGTGAAAGGGGCTCGGGTTCTATTTGTGTTCTTTGTAAACAGTGCCCCGCCTCAACAGGATCGCCTCAAAACACAGACCTTGCGAGCCAAAATCAAGCCTGGCAAGTTGAAGCGATGCGGACGGTCGGTTAGTTTTTCGAAGGCGACTCAGGAAATCCCAAGAGGAACACACTAAATACCACTCTACTATTGGAGGAGGTAAGGATTGCTCTCCAATAATGGGCAACTAGTTCCTGCTACATATTGGTTAGGTATGGTTTGGAACGCACCAAATCCGTGAACAATGCAGAAGAAAGCAGTCGAAAAGCATCGATAGGACTTCGTCTCAAGGAAAGCCTAGGACTTCCGGAAATGCGTGGGAAGGCTCTTAGGCAAGAGTGCTCTGCACGCCTGGGGGAGTCTGGGGGGGAGAAGGGGGCAGGCCAAAAGTTTCTCCCTTCGGAAGGGCGGGCTTGAGGTGGGTGGCCTTCTTTTCCTCGAGGGAAGTCCGTTTCGGTGGCTTTAAAGGGACACCAAAAGCAACACCGCAGCCATGTTTGGGGTCCATTAAAAAGACACACCCAGATGGCCATGGGTCAAAATCCCGAACCCAGTGAACATCCCAATCCCCACTAAAATAGGTTCTAAAATGGTTGGCGAATTCACCTACCCCAAAAGGGATCCCATTGGTTTTGACCCACAGATGGGCGCAGAGCCGGTTCGCCGCGCGCGCCGCGGTTGTCACCGCTAGGTGAGTGCAACGTTACGGATGCCACGCTGGAAGGCGGGTTGGGCGTTCTGCAAGCAGCACCTTAGGCATCCTTCGCGCCGCCCCCGAGGTTGTTGGGATCCCCCCCTTTCTTGTATGATTTTGAAGGACACACATGTAACCCCATCATCTAGAGGGGTCCCCTCTAAATCACAGGTGCCAAGAAACCGAAGTGCCACAAGCCGAACAGTTTTGCGTGGCTTGACCGCTTCCTCTTGACTCAGGCTGGAGACGCGCCAAAAAAGGCTCATACACCAACCTCTCGCAGCACGTATAATCCATTTGCGTGTTAGCATACCACTCAAGGGTGCAGGTGACGCCCAGTCGATTGGTTTCCTATTTCAGGTCGACTTCAGGTTGGCCTCCTATTTCAGTTGCACCCTCAAAATGGTACAACTGGTTTTGACCCAGACCACGTTGCCGCCTTTAGTTGACAAAGGCCAATGCAGGAGGACACCCCTGACAGTTGACGCCCAGTGGCCCTCTTTGCACCCGAGAGGCAGGCAGGAAATGGCGGCTTCAACATTGTTTCTCTCATACCCTCCGTGGGAAGTGATAAAGAGTCCATGGAGCTGGGAACATAGGTGTCCTTCTTAGGTGGTTTTGGTGGAACAATAGATGGCGATTCCTGGTTAAGAGGCCCATCTATTTGCCCTAGATGGGCATCCTATGGCTGGGAAGCTCACTTTGGCAGCACGCCGTGGGCTGGAGGTTCCACCACCATGGGGACACTGTGCTTGCAAGTGGCCTATTGGGTGGCCATTGCACGTAGAACTCAAATCACTGCCAGGCTGGTCCCAGTGGCTGGTCTTGGTACTACCCATGAGACCTTCCTTCGAGTCTGCTTGAGAGGCGGCTCTGAAACTCGCCCACAAGGTTTGCCCTTTGACCCGTGCTTTTCGATCTCTGAGCTCTCCATGTGGGTCAGAAAAGGGGCCCAACATGGCGCCCGGTGCCTTCCCGTTGTACCCCAAAATGGTACCGATTCCGAAAGGAGAGACAGAAGAAACATCTTCCACGTTGTTGTCGACAATTCCACGTGTTTGTCCATGCTTTTCCCAAGCGGGAGAGGCCAAGCGTGACCTCACCAAAGAGATTCCGGTTCATTGCCAGTCCTGGAGTGTGACATGCCCAGCTTCGACTTGACCCACTGGAGCAGCACTCAGTTTGAGGCCGGGGAGATCGTCACCAGCGGAACTGACTGGTTCTTTAAACGCGGTCGGAGAAGTTTTTGGAGGATGTGCGGAAGTTGTGGAAAGCAGTTTTTTTTTGGCAGGGGCACCGTTCTCTGGCAAGGTACCTGGTTTCGCTTCTTGGAAAAAGACACATGGTCCGCTTTGCGAGGCCGAGGTCGTTGTCTGTCCCCTGTGGTTGCGACCGCCAGGAAGTGATGCTCATTGATGCAGCGGCCTCAGATCGTCGGGCGAGCTCTCGTCTCCTTGCCTCTATACTGGTAGCTGGGATGAGCTGGGAATGACAGTTCACCCACCCCAAGAAATCGTTCGAGCTTAGGAAAAGAAATGGGGTCTGTGTTTGGACTTGATTTGGTGCCGGCGGCGTATACTGGTAGCCGCCCAAGAAGCCTGCTGTTGTCACGAGTGTTTTTTTTTGACAGTTCCTTGGAGGTTGCTGTCATTGCAACCAGCTTTTGAAGTGTAATATTGAGGGCTTTCATGGGCCCAGTCAATGCCCCCCAAGCCACACAGTTTTTGGAGTGTTCACACAGCCAGGTGCCAGACAGAGTATTGCCAATATTGGCTCAAGTCTCTGGTTATTGTTTCTTTCTTTGCCCCGTAATGAACGGAGTCGGTGACATCATTTGAGCTCGCGATAGCGTGCTGTACCACAGCGACGGGTTGACGCCCTTGGCGCATGCAAAATCCGTCTGAGCGGCCCGGGCAGGCTCGATTACTTGCAGCTCCCCTTGGATTTTCCCATGTACAGGGTATCTTTAGGCACCTTACTGACCTGCGTAGAGCTCAAGAAGTGAAAGGAAAGAGGTCTGGTCGAGTTTCACGGGAAGATGGGGGGCAGTCTTTGTTTCACACCAGGTGGAAGCTGGTCATCCAGACAACTGCAAGCAGATACAGGTGTTGCAGGAAGCACTGAAGACTGTCATGGGAAACTTGACATGCATCCCTGTGGATGTGAGCGAAACTCTGATGAATCATGAGCACTCAGCCAAGATGCGCATGATCAAACAGCAAACAAAACACAAACCAGCACGACAAAGCAACGCAATGCGAGAAACAACACAGAACGACGCAACACAAAATAACACAAAAGACCAACTAACAAGAACAGCAACAAACCAATGAACAACACACCAACACAAAGCAAAACAACACAAACAAAAACAATAGCACAACAACTCAGCACAAGACGCAGCACAACAGAGCGCCAACCAAATGAGACAATGATCATCAAGACTGCCCTCCAGCCAAAAACCTCCAACCAATCCAGCCCGAGAAAGCTCCCGCAAGGTGAACGGGCAGCAGACGAGCAGCAGTGGCGAAATGTTGCTCACTCAGCGGGAATTCTGGCAGTCGGTTTCCCTTGGTGTCTCCTCCAAAACGATTTTAGTCTTTTTACGGTAGATTGAATATGGAAGGAAGACAGACCATGTTTTTGGGGATACCCAGATGGTGGGCATGTTGTTGTTCCTTTTTGATGCCCTTTTTGTGTTTGTTTGCAAATCCTTTGGTTTCCTCCTGAAACATCGACCTGTTGGCTTCCTTTTGGTTTTTGTTCGCTTTTCCTTTGGTTTCCTTTGGACATTTTGTGATTTCCTTGTTGACATCGATCTGTTGGTTTCCATTTGGCTTCCGGTCGGTTCCCTGTTGCTGGCCTTCTTTGTCTGATTTTGTTTGTTTTCGGAAGCCGCCTGAATGAGAATTCCAGGCGTTGATTCCTTTCCAAGTCTTTTCCATGTTCAACAGTCCTTCTAGAAGCCGACCCTTTCCTCCGGTTTTTGGCGGTTTTTCGGGAATTCGAATCTCTTCCTGCAAGAGACTGGGCAAGTTGATCTCCCAAAGGGTCGGAAGGGCCCCCTACCTCCGGTTTTGGCAGGTTTGGGACAATCCCCCAGTAGTGCCCTTTCTCACCTCTTTTTCGGTTGGGACGGTTCCCCTACTAAAATAGACTACAGAAGGCGCACTCGTCGCCCGCCCCGTGTCAAAAGGGTACCCGTATTCTAACCTCTCTATTGGAGGACCTAGGGAAACCTCGGTCGCAGCTGAAAGAGAAACTGCAAATCCAAAGCCCAGGTTGAGTTTCACCTACTCCCGGCCGCGCACCCCCATCGTGAAGAGCATCACCCCCACGGCGCCTCGGGGGAGATGTGAGACGAGCCATGGACTTGAAGGTTCTTATGATCTTCAATATGCAGGTGTCCGAACATCTGGGGGACGCTGTTTGGATGTTTTCTGGAGGAAAGCCAGCAGGGAAACCGCCGTTTTGAGTGCCCCACCCATTTTGAGGACGCGCCAGTGCGCCTTAAACATGTGCACATCGGAACATCGGGAGCCTCCATCAAGTCACAAAAAGCAAACAAGAACATGCATGACGGATGGTGTGCTTCAAAATGCCTACACAAGAAACTACAACTCGAAGATCCGACCAACAATAACAAGGTTGACCTTTTAAAAAGGAGAAACCAACACCACAAACTCCATAAACCAACTTGTTGACCTTAAAGGTTTCTCTTCAAAAAGAGAGAACACACACACACCAAGCTGTTGACCCCAAGTCAGCACACCATGCGCATATCCTTGCAGCTGAGATCTCATGAGACCTAATGAGCTTCTATCAAATTCAAAGTTCCGATTGGGTCTCAGCTTCCAATCAAACCTTTGGAGCTGTTGCTCGGGTCTGAAGGATCGACTCGAAGATTGCAATCTGCGGCCGTTTGAATAGGTTGAACTTACTCCTGCGAGAGGTCCATGTTTTGATTGATTTCCCTTTTGGATTCCCGAAATAAATCCACAGGAAAAAAGGAAAAGGAGTCACTTGGCTCATCCTGATCCTTTGGTTGGTCTCCGACCTTTGCCACGTTTTGGACCACGTCTGGGGATGCCCCCGTGACACCTCACTGTGGGGTGGGGGCCCGGCCACGGGCCTCAGGGATCTGACGAGAAGGGGGCGATTCCGAAAAAGGGACCATCTGTTGCTTGCCTTTGAGACAAGGACACTTGTGCTTTTTGTTGGCTTGGCTTTCTGGGAGAAAAAAACATCAGCTTCCTTCTAGTTGGTGGTTTGGAGCCCGGTGGTTTGGTGGTTTGGGAGGTGTTTCCCATCTACCCCCTACAAGGTCCAGGCATTCAAACCCCCAAACCACCAATCCAAAGCACCAACCAGAGACAAGCTGAACATCCTCGTTTTTCCAAAGACAGACCCCCAGGCGCCCCGTTTTTCAGGGCGCAGCCGTGAAAAGATACCGCCGCCCTCCGCCCGCGCGCAGCACGCGCGCAGCACGCGACAGGCGCTGTCCTTCGCGGCCACAGGCAACGTGACGCTCCACGGCTTCAACTTCGGGCTCCTGCAGCGCCAGGATCGATGATCGATGACCGGATCGATCGGATCGATCGGATCGCCAATCGATTGGGTCGGATGGGATTGTTGATGATAATAACAGTGATGATAATAATAATGATAATGATAATAAAAATAATAATCATAATAGTACTAACAATAACAAGAATGAACAAATAGCAACCAACATCATAATCATAATCATAGTCATAATGTGATTATAGCCATGTTTTGAAAGTGTCATTCGGGACGTTGTGTTGGCGACTTACCGGTGGCATTTGGCTCAAGTTCTGATCCATCACGGCCTCGGATGAGCGTCGCCGGGTCCTCACGTTGATCATCTTCGTGTCGGTGGAGAAAGAGACATCGGCCCGGAGCAGGTTGGTGGGGTTCGCCCGCTTGGTTCATCGGCTCAGGCCGCGGGTATCTTTTCCTGGTTGCTTGGTTCGTTATTTTTCTCTTGTTGTGGTTTGCTGGTACGTTGGAAACCCCTGGATGCTTGGGACTGGGGGTTGTGCCTGGGCGCAAGGCTCGCGCCCGAATCACAGGTTATCAGCCGCAGGACCCTCCTTCGCGCTGGCGACCTACGACTTCGAGATCAATGGCGTCTACTTCGACCCCACGGAGCGCTAGGAGCGTCGTGGATGAGGAGGTGATCTTTGGTGGGGGCCTCCGAAATTCAGGCGAGGACTTTTTAGACTTCTTGCACGAGGAGTTTGATGAAGGTCTGCAGGACGACAGGGGCGTGGGCGGTGATTTTGTTGGGGATACCCCTCGCTGCCGCGGCAGGTACTCCGAGGATGATGGTGACGACCGCATCTTTCGGGTTACCGCGAGCAGAGCATCCCGTTCGGGAGGCTTCAGGTTTCAGGGCGTTAGCTCCGAGACTGGCAGAGACGCACAGGATCAATTTGCGGCTCAGTTGAAGGAGGTTGATGATGACATGCAAATCCGGGAAGAGCCATCCAATGCGGAGATTGCTGAACTGATGGGCATTGTGAAAACGGGGCTTTCAGGTGATCTTATGCTCTACTAAAATCTCATCAAGAAGGCCTCCGCAGTCTGTTCGGGCAACGCCGAGGCCCAAGCAACGAGTTCACTCCTCAGTAGGTCTGAAGACCCAGCATCTTCGCTTCTCGGAAATACTTTAAATGGCAACAATGGTTTTTTGTCCCAAGCCCAAAAGGTCTGTGATGAATTGTCTTGTTCATGACGCTGGTTGGGGGCCTTATTTGTGGCTTGTTTGCCCCTAAGAGCATTTGCCTGGGCGCAAGGCTCGCGCCCAAATCACACATAATCAGAATCAAAATATAATAACTATCATTATCATTACCATAATCGTAATCACAATATTAATCATCATAAGCATAACAATAATCGTAACCGTAATCATAATTATAGGAATATCAAGAATTATAATCATAAGCATAATCATATTGAGATTAATTTCTGCGCGTGGCCCAGCAGCTTATGGATTTCCTGAAGGGGTTCCAACCAAACACATCCAAGCCATGGGAACCCCAAGCCCCCTTCCTTTTGTCTCGCTATCGCAGCCTCAAAGCACGAGCTTTCCAATTACAGAACATTCCAAAAGAGGGCTTTGTTTTTTTGGAAAAGCGCGGTTCACGGGAGGGGTGGGGAGAATCGGTAACCTACATGGCGACGGGCTGTTCGCGATTCACACACACAACCAATCAAAAAGGAGCTTAGGGACAGACTTGTACACGTACGTACACGTACAACGTACATGGTACACGTACCCGTGCAACGTCATATGTGCACATGTGTGCACCTTTGTACACGTATGTCCAGATGAACACACTTATACATCTACATAATTTTTACGAGGCTTACTGTGACCAAACAAGCCGTTGCAAACGTCCAAGAAGGGACTACCAAGTAGGTTTGGTTGGCAACCCCATCTACTCACCAGCAAAAGGACACCTACCACCTACAACCAACATGAAGGAAGCCAGACACACAACTAGCGGGTTCCTTCAGGTCTCCCTGAGTTCAGGTTCTTTCTTTCAGGAGAACCTCCCTGATTAATGATTGGACTGGAACAGTCTTCAGGGGTCACACTATGGAGCATCCGGGGAGCGTTTCCATTCCGTTTGCCGAAGTCAGTGCGAGGTTTGTCAGCCCAGTGGCTGAACTGGCATTCTAGGGTCCATCGTGGAGCGGCATGGGATGCTTTGCCAGGTTCTGTTGTCTCTATTCTCGGCTGTATCTCTGGAGTTTGGGCAGATTTGAACCCACCGGTAGATGTGGCAATTTATGATGTTGGCATTCCCAGGATTTTTTTTTGCGGATTTTCGGCTTCCTTGGCATTGGACACCTGTGGCGGGCTGTTCACGTTTTGTGGGTCCCCTGCTTCAGAGCTGATCCTTGGCCGGCCACGCTAAGCTGCTGGCAGGTGCAGGTGAACTTTGGAGATCGGCCCTGCCTGACGCCGAAGGGAGGATGGGAGGTCAGACAATCCGACTAAAAATGAATAAATACATATATATATATATATGTAATATATATATATATATATATGTAATATATATATATATACATAATACCCAAATTTTGATGGCCAGGTGGGTAGGTGGAAAAGCTGGTTGGTGTCATGTTCCTGAGAGGCCCTGATTGGCCGACTCGGCCGCCAAATTTGGAAGCTGTCAGTGCCTGAAGCAACGTCCGTACCCTAAATGGATTCTCCAAGCACTGGTAAGGGGTCCGGCCCGCAACACTTCTGAAACATAGGAGCTGGTTTTTGGTCACTTTAGCCGTAAGTTTCAAGCACCCGGCAAATAGGAGGGGTAAGGGTTGGGTCAGTGCAACAGGTGAAGATATTCTGTGTGGGGCCTCGCATTGCGGGCGCTGCCCCAATGCCAAACATTTGTTTTGGCGTGGTTCTCCAAGTTTAACCTAAAGACAGCTGGTGGGTTCTGGGTGCGCCGAGGGGAGGAAGGGTACGGAGCATGGGAAGCGAGGGAGCAAAGGTGGATACCGCGATTCAACTGTGTCTGTTGTCTTTTTAGAAGGGATATGCCATTTCTTTCATCGTGGCCGCCCGGTTTCCCTTGGGCTGTCCTTTTGGTTTTCCTTTAAACCAAGCCCGACAAGGGTACCAACACCAACTCTCCAAAAACAGACATGCCCCAGTTCTCAAAAAGAATCCGGTGCTTCGCCATCCAAAGAACCAGCCGGCTGTTCTGCTGTGCTCCCAGGCAAGGTTTGGGAGATGAACCAGACGGCCATCATTTGCCAGCTGAAGCGCCTCGGATGCGGAACCCCTCGCCAGCCTCGACCCCTCGGGGTCGAAAGGTGGAAGTACATACCCCTTGTTCATAGCCCTTGGCTTCCGTGGTTTCCAAGCCACTTTACAAGGGGTATATACCCCTTTTTGGGGAGAGGGGTATGAACATCAGGCCTTTTGAGTTCATTTGTCCAAGGGGTATGTAGGGTACAGCGCCTGGACTCGGGTTCGAATGGCCCTGAGCGGAAGCCAGCACCCGACTTTTTGGAGAACTGGACGGCGTGCCGTTCTTTTTTTTGGGAGTTGGTTGCCTTGTTGAGGTTGGTTTAAAGCAAAGCCAAAAGGACACCGCAGCGAATTCTCGGGGTTCCTTGTTTTGTTGAACGATGCTGCAGTTTGCGGGAGGGGCTCTGAAATTGCCCCTGGACGTCACTTAGCAAGCCGTTTGATAGATCTCCGGTGACTGCACTGCATGTGCGATTCAGGTGCCTTCCACTTCTCCCGAACGATTCCAGAGTTCTTATTTGGTTTGGCTTGTGCATGATCCATGGTTTCATCAAGGCTTTACACCCCTTGTTCTTTGGGTCTAAGCGGATTTCCACTACCCCCAAACCACTCCTGCTTTTGGTTGTTTTTGGTAAAATGGGATGTATACATATTACAACGTATAAACATGTACATACATATGTTTAGCCCTTCTAAGATGGTTTGGCGGGTGTTTACGCCCTTTGTTCTGGTTCGTTTTTTTTTTTTGATTTCGATCTCCCGAGGCGATCCGCGATGGTGCATAAGCCTCTCTGCACGGAGAACAAGGAGGGGGGTGGAGTGACTTCCTGACAACTTCCAGCTAAGTGCCCTTCTTTCCCCTTTTCTTCTGGGGAGGGTTCCCCTACTAAAAAAGACTACAGAAGAAAGATCGGGTACCAACTTATTCTATCCTCTCTACTCAAGGACCTAGTTGATTCTTCCCACGTCCAAAGCCCTCTTCGAGACCAAAATGCAGTCGAGTCACGAGTCGTGGGGGCTTGGGGGGGCGGGTGCTGATTTTCAGAAGACCGAGTGTGCCATTCACTTTGGACGGCCGATGTTGGACCTAGCGAAGGCAGAGGAAAAGGCATGCAGACCAACCAAATACCACCCCAGGCTAACATGGAAGCTCCCAGGACCCCTTTGGAAGACTTGGCATCCTTCTTCTCCGCAAACGACTTCCCAAAAACAGCACAAGAAAAAGCGGTTTCTCAACCCTTTGGACGCACCAAACCCCGGCCCGAAAATGTGGGGTTCTCAGAATCGTGAAAGAACTCAGCATCAACTTGAGACATGGTCGAATTCATAGTAGTGGTCCAAACTCCCTCGGTTTCATCTCCAAGGCTCTTCAACCATTTTTTGTCTGAAGATTGTATGGGACAGGCCACTAGTTCCTTCAGCATGTGGCGTACATCAGTACACTCCCTCAGACTAACATGGAAGCTCCCAGAAGGCCTCTGTAAATGGACCCTGGAAACACTGGGAGCTTGAACGCGTGCCCGCAGGACATCTACAACGAAGACTGCAACTTGGCAAGTGCTTAGTGCATGGCCCCACAGGGTTTCATGTTTTTGGTTACGCTCCCACAAACATGGAGCCTGACTAAACGCGCCCCCTCACCCTCGCTGGTGGGTTCCATGTGATGTGGACAAACAGAATCCAATAAGCCCGACAGACTTTGACTTGCTTCTGTTTGTCGGGGATTCAGCCCTGCCTCGTAAACAAGACCCGTGTTTTCTACAGTCCGTCCATTTGCTGGAGGCGATTGGAGATTTGCCGGTCGCGCCCAGGTGAGGGCGACACCCAATGAACCAAGGGGCCTATTTTTGGGCAACGCACGTTGACGAGCGGATAGGAGCCCCGCGTTTGCTTCGCATGGTTTTCCAGTGGAAGCCTTCCTAGAGGAAGTCTTCCTTGAAGATGGCTGATGGAGAATTAGGAACGGAGAAGCTTGGGAGGAGTCGCCGGACATCAGTTCAGCCTTACTCGTGAAGTTTTGGCATGGGAAACATGGCGATCTTGAGGGGCATCTTTTTGGACCGGACGTTGCAGAGCACACGTTTTGCCTCCCCATCCCACTGCAAGACTGGGTGTTTGCAAAACGGGGCTCGGGGCTTGATCTATTTTACATTTTTTTGTTTTTTGTCTTGCTTGGAGGCTATGGCCTTGTTTTCCTTTGTATGGAACAAGAGGCCAATGCTGTCCGCTTTCGCTTTGAAAAGCCAATGCAACGGGCGTGCCAGTTTCCAGCAGGCCCTTCCCTGACCAAGGGACTGACGCAAGTGGCCCCTCAGATGTTGAGGTCGCAGCTTTGATTTCGGACCTCCCGAGTCCCTGGAGTTTGTAGCAAGACCGTTTCGACTTGATGTGGCCAATCCACTCAAGTGCAGTCAGGTTTCGCCGTTTTGTGGATGATTGACATGGAAAGCCCGAACCGGCCGCCTTTCGAGGACACTCTTTTTATCAAACAGTCAAGGAGGTCGCTTTGAGTATTGTTTTCCTCGTGGCCCCGCAGCACCAGCCGAAATCTGGCGAGGGAAAGTCTCAAAAAGGCTAGGTCTGTTTGTGTCAAAGGCCGCTTTCCGCCTTCCGCACTCTTCAAGTCTGCGGTGTGGTTTCTTGGGTATTTCTGAACCCAACCAGGGGGGTGCAACCCAAGAATTCACGGGGCAAGCCGATTTCTCCTTTCGATTTCCAGTTTGGCTGCATTGATCAATGTGGCGCCGCCTGCTCATCAACGTAGCGCCTATGTTTCCAAAAGG